CAGAACAGTTAATCATTTCGTTCACTGTTAGCAAGTCCTTGAAAATAACGATGTCTGTAGTTGGAACAGAACATTTTTCTGGTGTTTTATATACTTTGAATTCACTTGTTAGCTAGTTTAGTAATGTTATTTTAGTTTTTTTCTTTCACAAGTTCAAATAAGGTAATTCATACAAAAAATGTGAACGTTCCAAATACGGATATTGAGAAAGCGCGGAAATTCGTAAGTGCATGTAGTCAGTCAGTCACTCATTCCTATAGCACCCGGGCCTGTCGACCCCTGGCCTCTCTCACGAAGTCTCTCCACCCCTCCCTGTCCTTTGCAACCTCTGGCCATTTTTCATCTTTTATTTCTACATCAAGGGCTCCTCTGCAACATTATCTCCATTTTTTCTCAGTTGTCCTAATGGTCTCCTACCTTGTGGTCTTCCAAAAGTAACAGTCTTGGAAAGTATATTTTCGTTCTTTCGGGCAACATGACTAGCCCATCTAATTCTATGATATTTGTAATAGGAGTTAACCCGCTGATATCCAACAACTATTGATTATGTTGTCTTCAAGTGCATGTACAGTTTTATTTATTATAAAAATGTCAGTTTACTATGAAACCTCATTCACTCAGTTAACAAATTACACTAATGTAAAGAACCTGACCAGTAAGGATGAACTGATAATTTAACCCAAAAAAATGCTAGTATTCAGCAGACCTGCATGGCAAATGACGTGTAGCTTACAAAATAGATACCGCACTTTTTCTAGTAATTAGGGTAAGACTAAATTATCAAATGCAATGTCTAAATACCATTACCGAGCCATTTTGTACAACAGAATATTAAAAACTTATCAAAGTTTTTAGAAAAAGGTTTGACGTTAGGTCGTAGAATAACATTATAAGTTTATTTATCGATAGTATTAAGTACAGTAAAGTTTAGTCCAAACTAAACTAAAGTAAAAAAACAACGTACACGGGTTACAGTGTTAATTTATCTCTTTATCGAACTTAGGCCTAACATAAGTTAAAGTTTTATAAAGTACGGCCTGTATACAATGTGGATTTACACATTTCGTTGTCTACGATTACAATTCGTTTGTATTGTGCTAGAAATTTTATATCTAAAGAAGTACTGTTACGATAAAGATACTAATTTGGCCGGAAATGTTTTGCGGGTCTCTGCTAATACTGAATAATTAAATATTACATCTTAACGGACATTCTAAATCACCACTAGTTCAAGCATTTTTAAGAGCACAAAGTCTGGTCTCCAGCGGTTTATGTAACGTTCTTGTGAGGTCTAATGGGGTAGAGGAGGCACGTTCTTACAAAGCTGTCACAACCAAAAGATTACCGAGACCAAACCTTGCTGACCTCAATATTTATGCCAACGGGCGTCTCTGTGGTGACTCAACTTTTATTTTTTTACAATAATAAATAAAAAAAAACTTCGGGAAACTTCCAAATGAGGTGAAAGAATGAAGTAATTCTCGGTATAGGTAAACTAGTGAATATGTAAAAATTCTCAAGAGTTCGAAGGATACGAATATGTCATTCTGCAATACAAATATGCGTCTTTATAAAAGTACAATTTCATTTTAATCTCAATTTGTTTTATTGTTGCTGCTACATTGGTCACCATTTAGTTGTTTACTATCACTCTTGACAAAATCATTGCACTGCTCAGTATTAGTTATTTAATTATTAGAGCCTGAATAATTTGTTTTTCAAACGTTCAAACAGACGTTTTTAGTTTTATGAAAGTTCGGCTAACAACAGTAAAGACAAATGTGTTTTACATGGCGTATTAATATGTAACATATGCTGGAAAGACGTTTTACAACGTTAAATGTGTTGTTTTACCTCAATTCCATTCAGCGCAAGTTTGAGCAATCCAGCAAATCTGTCTGAGGAAACTGTATTAATGCTTTGCATTCAGGAAGTAAAGATAAACTTGGCACAAGTTATACACACAAACTCATGAACTATTCATGAAGGGGGGGGGGGAGATAAATGCTTCATCAAATATAATCCTATCAGCTACCTGCCCCCAATAAAACTAAAGAAGCCTAAAACACAAATATGCGTGACTGAATATAAGCGCTTGTAGTGATGATGTCTGAATGATAGTTTCCTATGAAATGTTCTGATTTAAGTTAGCAGTACGGTAAGGTCCCGTTGACTGTATATAGTACACATGTTTCAAGTAAAGTATAACGCCGCCTTCTGAAGTTAATCGGGTTAATGGATGTCTGTCTGCCGTTGTCACAGATCGAGCACCCCAAACAGTGATAGTGTTATGTCGGATAGGATACAGACGACACTTTTGTTCTTCTGGTTCTTATTCACACGCTTAATAACACTTCTGCTGAGTGACAAAGATGTACCATCAGTTTGCCAAGCTTAGATAACTGTGGGACCTGTTTAACTTCAGTCGGTCAGTTGAAATAGACAAACTGTAATTAAATTGCTGGTGTTTATTGTAAGGTAAAAGTCATTTGAAAGATACGAACTGCGAGAGTAACATATAAATGTTTTCCTTCTGTGTCTTTCAGCAAGTAGTTTAATTTCAATCATCGTTTCCACTATAACTCAAGATATATACTATAAAGCGAACTGTGTATATCTGCCACAAAAATTTCCCAACTTCTGGTCGCCATGAAATGTTCAGTGGTTCATGGATATGGGCCCAAATGTCCATAAACTTTGGGGTAAAAATTATAATACAGCACTGATAATTTGTAAATGCTGAATTGTATCATTGTGCTTCGCAATCTAAGCTACAATAAATAAACGTACATGTAGCAATAGCACCCACCCCATCTCTCTTCTTGTATGTAAAATGCATGCTGAAATTTGTAATCTATCTATGTATAACAGGCCTCCCAGTTCATATTTATTAAAATATAAGCTGTAACATAAAATTATAGGTTTTTATAGCATTTGTGCATAATAGAAGGGCATGTGAAAGGAAGAAGACCCCCCCCCCTTCCGTCTTCCTGGAGACAACAAGGAAAATACTCAGTTCAATTCCAATTGTTAGCATATCAACTGTCAATGAAAAGTACTTCTAATTTCCATGTAAATCAATCTGAAATGTTCATTTTCTTTACTTATTCTCTCACTTTCAGCCTTATTTTTCAAAGCTATACTTGTGAAGAAATGCATATTTAGATGTTACAATAATTAAACAAAAACAAATACTAATTAAGGCATCACTATGCATTTAAAAGAAACACACAAAAAACGGAGTGGTTGTGATTTGTATGAATGAAAACACATTACTTAAGTGTTCCTATTTATAATACCTTGGATTAAAGAAGTTCAAAACATCATTCACTTTCATTTCAACATTTTTAGTTAAGTAGCAAAATCCATACTATTATTCTGCTTGTTTGTATGTACGACCGTTAAGCTTTCTGACCGAGAACCTGTTGCTTAAGCATGCGTAGTTAGAATGTTTCCCCAAGAAAAACCGCGCATGCGCATTATTCACTCGACGACAAACAGTCTGCCTGCGGCAGGGAGCTGCAAAGCTCAGTGATCGAGTCGCTACAATTGTTGTATGAAACAGATAGTAACAACAAAAGGGGAATGTAAATATACTTTACTTACAGACTGAGTACATAGTTCTCTATTTACTTCATACCCACTTTTCGTATTATTATTATTATTGCTTTATATACCTGTGCATATGTATTGTGCTGGTACACACTTTTTTTGATATTGGAAACTAAGTGAGAGTGATCTACATTTTCCTTCATATTTAATTATGTACAATTTTCACAACATGATTGTTATTGTCAAAAACACTCGCTGCAGTTACTATCGTATGATT